AGACTGCAGGCGACTTTGCCCTGACAATGGAATTTTGTGCGTCTAGGATGAAAATGTGCACCTATCAACCTGCATTAATAAGTGCGCGTTGTCATAATGAATTGAATGTATAGGAATCGTGAGGGATATGGCATGAGCTGGTATATTAAAGTGTACGTAGGATGACTAAAGTACTGTTGGAAATGCTAGAAAAATGCTCTTTAGCCTTAATACTTTGATAAAGGTGATAAATGTACTATGTTGTCAATGTATCAACTCGCCTATAGTGTACCTAAATTTTTTTTCAATCGATTTAACATTCCCATGCATTTAAAGGGCAGTTTACAGGAGAGAATATGGTACCAAAACAACAACTTAAGATTTTTTCAGAGTTCAACAACAGAAATCTGAAATAGTCTTTACATTTATGCTAATAATACAGGTGGTGTAAAAATATGAATCAACGTTTTTCTTTAACAAATAAATGTTGAATGTTTGTGTTACTTTACTTAATTATCGTTTCTTTATTGAAGAAATATTAATATAAATGTAAAGGTCACATGCAACCAAAAAATCAAACATAATTAAAACACAATTATCACTTATTCATGACATATAATATACATTGCTGGTTATGAAAAAACATATAAACATAAATTATAAGCGTACAATCGCAAATCAAAAGTGCAATATTGTGTACTTGGGTTTACTTCCCAAGAAACGAAGCAGCCGGGATACCGAACCCAGTCAGAGCGGGTGGGTGTGCACTCAAGTGTAACGGCTGGTTCATTTGCAGATGCCCACACGGCTCATTGTGTGTGTATATATAGAGATGTTGGGTTTTGTAAATACATGCTCATTTTTGTGTATAACATTTTGCAATCAACAAACATCATAACATGTCATGTGTTCAAGTATCACACCTGCCTGTCTGTGTAATTACATAATGTGACAGAGACCGAACTCGGGCCATAAATCAATGCGTTTTGTTTATGGTGTATAGCCTGATTGGTGTTAAGTTCAAATTGCATGTGGTCAGTGATCGCAGTTGTATATTGAATATTGTCATTAGCAGACAGGCAGGCAGACACACAGGTGTTATTAAAACAAGACATTGAGTTTTGTCTGTGACAACGACATATCTACATCACAGTTAGAAATTCTGTCAACGCTAAATAATGACATTGCTTTTAAGTATCGAACTGAGAAAGTGACTCGGTAAGAAGAACGTGTGGTGAAATAGACAAATGAAATTATATAAACAGTTTATTTACTGTTATAACATATAAAAAGCTCGCGCCTGTAAAATATCAACAAAACATTAGGAAAATAGGTCACACCAAAGCCTTCACCGAGTATTCACCGGACAGCCCGTTTCCAAGTCGCGCGAACCTATTTCACTGCGCACGTGCTATTGAAACCAGTTTTTCCCCGGAAAAGTCGGGAGAACATTAGTGAATCGTTTGAATTCCGATTTCGCGCGTTTTTTTCATCGCGTTATTTTTCAACTTTATAAGTTGAATTTGCGTTTTTGATGATTTGTTTCGGTAAGTCCATACCGAAAGGTATCAGAATCTGCAAAGTTGTGTTTTACGTTGCATGGGACCTTTTTAAGTCTTGATAAATAAGTTTCCCGTGATGCATGCATATCTTTATCACAGCGTCCACTATGGCCAACTATTTGCAGTTTTTTGTGCTTGAAAAGGACAGAGGTAAACCTTTCATTAGTTTAGAAAGGGTTTATTACAGAACCTGTAGAGCTGTTGGTATGTCTTACCAACAAGTTTACAATATTGTAAACAAATCAGACAAGACAGGGACCGTCTCAAAAGCAAAACCGGGACGTAAACCATCCTTGACAACTTTGACAAGCGAGTACTTAGACGGGCGGTCTACAAACTTTATGAGAAGAAGAATATATATATTCTAAAGAAGCTACACCAGTGACTTCGTTAAATCTTTGGCCAATGTTCACGACTAGATTAAACTGACCGAATTACATCCATATTTTTGCAATGAAATATGCTGTTGACATGCAAAACACAAAACGTTGCACATTTTTACAATCAATCGATAAGATAACACAAATGATAGGATTCTTTCCAATGAACAGTAATTCGTATGTTTATTGCAAAACAAACACACATACACAAATGATCCCTTACATAACCAATATGTATACTATACGTACACATATTTAACATTTTGAAGACAACATCTATTGAGATGACCCCTCCCCCGAGCGTGTGCTCAGGTGTCAATTTCACCTGTCGATACCGTGCATGCTGATGACGTAACACAGGCAGTTAATGTTTGTATCAAATAACGTCCCACTACCCCTTATTTTTCTCAGTTTTTGGTATTTTCATCAGTAAAAACACATTTTAGGGCATGTCTCTAAATTTATTCCCTCGGTCTACATTAGGTAGATGTTTCTTAAAGTGATATTTGTTATTTAAGTAACTGTAATACCTCTGAATTTTAAATATAAGTCAAAAAGCATTTTTCTAGCATTTCCGACAGTACTTTAGTTCCGCTGTTCGTGGACAACAATGTACAGGTAAACAGATGGTGGTAGTTGTTCAGTAACATATGCTCAAGTATACAGATGACGATAGTTGCTCAGCAACACATGCTCAGGTAAACGGATGGCGCTAGTTGTCCAGCACGTGTCGGACTACCAGCTGCCTTTCCGGGATGGAATACTGCAATAGGTGAACAACGGCTCCGATCAGTAGATTGTTACAGGAGATATGAGCAACAATAGTTAATCGAGTCGATAAACATACATATTCCCATAATTAGTGTCTCGTAGGAACAGTAGGCTATATATTTAACAGGTTTTTATCGACAGTCATTACTTCATTAGTTAATCGAGTCGATAAACATACATATTCCCATAATTAGTGTCTCGTAGGAACAGTAGGCTATATATTTAACAGGTTTTTATCAACAGTCATTACTTCGTAAAGTTCTTGTTGTTAATTGTTTGGACCGACTAAACAAACATTTTCATTCCTGCTTCTGCCACTTAAGAAATTTAAACTTTTTGTCACGTACTTCATTGACATTAACATAAACAGATTAGAGAGTTAAACACAAAGGTTTCCATGTGTACGTATTGTCTTCGTAATTGCGTGATGTGTAGTGCGTATGACGTGTGCGTAGTGTCCCATTCCATGTGTACGTGTATAAAGGCTATGTGATGTGCTACATCAACAGTTTGACTAAATCATATGCTACATCAACAGTTTGACTAAATCATATTCAAAACGGAACTTTGCAACTTGACATGATATGAAGATCGGATTACGTACTACGCATCACGCACTGCGCGCACATGGAAACCCGGCTTTAAGCCTTTAACTCTCTGCCACAGTACCTGAAAGAGTGTGAATCATTGTCATTGTTTAAGACCCATCTCAAAACCTTCCTGTTCAGACTTGCCTTCTCTGTGTAGCTTTTCTCGTCTCCTCTCGGACATGTGCGCTTAGAGAATGTACTGTGCATGGATTCAGCGCGTATCAAATGGATTATTATTATTGTTATAGAAATACCAAAAGATTGCATACAATTCCCCAGTGGGTAGTTAAGCCCATAGCCTGGGTGTTCCACCACCGTTTCATGACCACGAGTGCTTTACGTGCGCTTACTACAGATCTAGAACTGGCGAACGCAGCCAACCTGCACCTGGATTACACTGTCTATACCCACACCTAGATTACACCAGGACTATACCCTATCTACTCACACCTAGATTACACCTGGCCTACACTACTTACCCACACCTAGCCTACACTATCTACCCACTCCTAGATTACACCTGGCCTACACTACCTACCCATACCTGTACTGCCCTATCTACCCACTCCTAGATTACGCCTGGCCTACACTACTTACCCACACCTAGCCTACACTATCTACCCACTCCTAGATTACACCTGGCCTACACTACCTACCCACACCTAGCCTACACTATCTACCCACTCCTAGATTACACCTGGCCTACACTACCTACCCACACCTGTACTGCCCTATCTACCCACTCCTAGATAACACCTGGCCTACACTACCTACCCACATCTGTACTGCCCTATCTACCCACTCCTAGATTACACCTGGCCTACACTACCTACCCACACCTAGCCTACACTATCTACCCACTCCTAGATTACACCTGGCCTACACTACCTACCCACACCTAGCCTACACTATCTACCCACTTCTAGATAACACCTGGCCTACACTACCTACCCACACCTAGCCTACACTATCTACCCACTCCTAGATTACACCTGGCCTACACTACCTACCCACACCTAGCCTACACTATCTACCCACTCCTAGATTACACCTGGCCTACACTACCTACCCACACCTAGCCTACACTATCTACCCACTCCTAGATTACACCTGGCCTACACTACTTACCCACACCTAGCCTACACTATCTACCCACTCCTAGATTACACCTGGCCTACACTACTTACCCACACCTAGCCTACACTATCTACCCACTCCTAGATTACACCTGGCCTACACTACCTACCCACACCTAGATTACGCCTGGCCTACACTATCTGCCTCGCTATCAACCTCGTCTGGCTATAATACAGTCGATCGCGAGTATTAGTGTTATTTGTTTTTGTCGTTATTATTTCTCGCTTCCTATGTATTTTTTTTAAAATAATGCCTCCTTACTTGACAAAGCTGACATTTTCGCTCCTGGCACTGTCACTCATGAATCACGAACTTGGACCAGTCATTCAGTGACATATATTATATATTAACAAGGAAATATTAATATCGCCAATTTGTTGTCCATTTAGATTAAAGCGATATTCTAAAATATACACACATGAATTGTATTATATTACCCAATGTGGCTAGTTGTAAATGAACGCTGTGTGAGAGGTTATTAACACGAGGGTTTTACGTGTGCTTCTGTCTCTATTTTGACTCATGTGATAACGAGGCTTCACTGTGTGTCAACAAGGACATACCGACACGATACATACATGTGAAACTGTTTAACATTTTATTATGTCAAATCTGATTTAATATTCATAAATTATTTTCCTCTCCGGATTCCATACGAACTGACCATGGCAGTTAATGTCGGCATCACGTGTCTATCGTACATCAACAGGTGTCTGTCGTACATCACCCGGACCCAGTGTTTGGAATACATCACCGGGTGTCTGGCGTACATCAACGGTGTCTGTCGTACATCACCCGGACCCAGTGTCTGGAATACATCACCGGGTGTCTGGCGTACATCACCTGGACCCAGTGTCTGGCGTACATCACCCGGACCCAGTGTCCGGAATACATCACCGGGTGTCTCGTACATCACCAGGTGTCTGGCGTACATCACCCGGACCCAGTGTCTTGAATATATCACCGGGTGTCTGTTGTACATAACCAGGTGTCTGACGTACATCACCCAGACCAAGTGTCTGGCTTACATCACCCGGACCAAGTGTCTGGCTTACATCACAGGGTGTCTGTTGTACATAACCAGGTGTCTGACGTAAATCACCCGGACCCAGTGTCTGGAATACATCACCGGGTGTCTGGCGTACATCACAGGGTGTATGGCGTACATCACCCGGTGTCTGGCGTACATCACCTGGCGTCGTCCGGAGTCAAGGGTACCAGCCCCACATTAGCCAGGGTGTACACACTGTGTCTGGCGGAAGGGGTAGGATCAGACCAGCACCAACAGCAACACACTCTCCTGAACACCTGGCCTACCGCAGGGATCTTGATGGCGTACACTAGAGGGTTGATGAGGCTGTTGAGGAAGCCGACACCGGCTGTGTAGGTGAGGACGGCACCGAGGTCGACCCCTGTGTCTTCAACCAGGGAACGGTCAATCAGGACTAGGAGGAGGTATGTGCCTGGGGAAAGAAAAACAGTTGCTCACTACGAGGCCCGCACACAATCCCACGTAAATTTGGCTACATGACAACGGGCGACCTTCTCGACCTTTCTCGGTGATATGGAGTCTTTCCTGTTTCAAAAGCAATGCAATGGACTAAGTGTACAATATTAATGTTCTAATGAGGCGGACTGCTGTCTACAGTCTCATTTACATGCAGGCGATACAGTTTTACTTGGAGTGATAACTGTGCGAAATGGAAACTCAGTGCATTACATGTATATGCAATACCAAAATTGCCTTTTGGGTAGTGGAAATGTTAAGAGCAAACAACCTTGCATTAGGTAAGACGTAAGTCAATTAGAAGCCATGGACTTGTATGTTTATCCAGACAGTTGCTCACGAACTTTGGCTGAGAATACTAGCAGTACCTACCTACAGGCGCCCAACACAGGATATACATGCCGATGATGATGCCCACTGTCTTGGCGAACCTGAGCGTCGACCTGGGCGTGTTGCCTGAACTCGTCCGACACAGCTGGGCGTGTATTGCCATGGCGTGCTTCCTGGCCAGAACGTAGATTTGTGGGTACAATGTCACTATGGCAACCAGTGGTATCACAAATATGACCACAACAGTCACGAGATAGCTAGTGGAGAATACGGTGAAGAAGTTACACGTCTGCTTCACTTGTTGTGACCGGTTCCATCCAGCTACAGGCAGCAATGCCAGCGTCAGGGCCAGCACCCACACAGAGGTGTTCAACGCTGTCACTCTCTTGGACGTGAACACTCGTTTGTGACGGAATGGGTCTTTGATTTTGACATATCTGTCCACTGTGAGCAACATAATGCTGAGTACAGACGCCATGTTTACACCAATCAGAAGCCCAAACCTGAAGAGACATTCGTGGACATCTTTCCACTCAAGCATAGTGTACACACTGTTGTAGATGACGATGAGGCCGGTCAGGGCGTCGGCCATGGCCAGGTTCACAATGAAGGAGTTGGAGGCGTCGTCTCGGGAGGAGAGCAGAGCCACCAGCACGACCATGTTAAGAACGATTTCCGTGATCCCCATGAGAATAAGAAACGGAAGTCCTACAAGGTCGGTAAAGGTCACTGGACTTCCGGTGAAGGCAATGAAAACGTAGGTGTTGTTCATTATGTGATTGTGTCCTATAGGCTGTGTATGATTAATATATTCTTAGCAAAACAAAGCAACATATTCTCATTCCACTTGATTGAACAAATCATGTTTACAAATATGCAAACCACAGGAACTGTCAGTACAGAGGCAGTAGAGACGGGCAGCTATGCCATGTCGCCCCTCCCCCTGCTGTGTACACCTATACGCGACTACACCTGTGAATACACCTGTACGTTGCGTCACAAGATGTTCACACCTGTACGCTTTGTCAAAAGAAATATGTTCACTTATAGGCTGCGTCACAAATTGTGTGTACACGTGTGCTCCGAGTCACATGCTATGTGTACATCTGTACGCTGTACCTCAAGGTGTGTTAATTTCCTGTTCAGGTGGGTTTTAAGTAGGTATCTGGCTGGATGAGTCACGTACGTGCTTTACACCGACAGCGCCGCGCCCCGAGGGATGGAGGAAGGGACACGGTCGTCTCATCTTAATGCTCCTCGCATCGGGCGTCTGAAAATATATATTTGAATTTGTATTGACTTTGCCTTAAATGTAAGACACTAAATTCAGTAATCTTATTAATCTGACCGATCAAGAAATCATCATACACATTAAAACTTGGACAAAACTGATACTTGTACTTTAATCATGAATTTTAAAAGAAGAACCTGTACGTCACTTGGCCGTTGACCTAGTTCCCCAGTACTGACCCAGTACAATTCCTGGTATTGTCTGTGTGGGGGTAGACCTAACACGCAAGCAGCTGTGTCTAGCTGCACTACAATAATCAGGTGAAGGTCAGTCTGTGGAACTGATCTAACGTATTTAGTACAGGAGTATAAAAGTGTCTCAGGGTGTTAAGTTCTAAATGATAAAAAAAACCCCTATATTTCATCAATAAGGGATTGTCTGGCGCGCTGTGGAAACCGGTGTCCGAGGGCAAAAGACGACGAAAGAGTGTGTTTGGGGAGGACCTCGTTTGGAAACGTTAACATCGCCGTGTGTGATACGATACAGTCACAGCACCTGTAACTCTTGACATCAGTTAATATGGTGTAACTTAAGTTAGAGTTAATGAAGTGTTCGTTGACCCGAGGCCAACCTGCGTCAGAGTAGTGGCAGTTTCAGATCGTCATCCGTCACTGTTTGCCCTGAGCACATCCTTGTTAGAATGTGTTTACAACATACACTGTTAAATATCATTTGACACTGTTTATCTTTAAGTGCAAAGTATTACACTCTTTTACTTTTTTCACAAAGCAGTTCAATGTTGAAAATTAATCTTCCTCTGTTGTAACACCTCTGGCATTCTTCACACAACACGAGTCGTAGTGGCGTCCCTCCTTGTCTCTGCCTTCTGCAGGTCTCCCAGCGCTCTGCCCGCGCTCTTCCCGCTGTCTGCCTGCTCCCCATTTGCTTGGCTATCCTGTCTGCTTTTAGGTAAATGAAGATGATGGCCGGCAATTCTCTTGGACATAAGCTGCTTAGCTGGTCATATTTGACTAGCTTGACGTATCTCTGACAAATAGCGTTACACCATGCTTAGATTTTCTAGGATGTTGACAGAACATATCTGTATTCACCTCTTCTGTCTGTATACATCCGTTTGTATGTATATATTCACTATTTCCTCAATCACCACTTCTTGTCTGAACACACCACACCTTTGTCTAATCTCATATCTACGTCTAAATTCCAAACATTTATGTGTATATTCAGCACTGTCCAGATGCACTGATCTGAAGTATACATTCACTACATCTATGTTTCCTCTCACCACTGCAATGTTATTTGAGTGTTAACAAACATATGATGAGCTCCTTTGTTTAACTATGTGGAGTTCTTCCCCCTCTCACAGATGGGTCAATGAATGCACTTGAGAGTGAGTTATGTCTAAATATGACAAGGAAGAGGTAGCCTAGTGGGGTAGCCTAGTGGTTAAAGCGTTCGCCATGCTTCAACCATGCATGGCTACACACAGTTCAGCGAGTTAATTTTTACGCCGCTATTAGCAATATTCCAACAATATCAAGGCGGGGGACACCAGAAATGGGCTTCACACATTGTACCCATGTGGGGAATCGACCCGGCGGATCTTTGCGTGACGAGCGAACGCTTTAACCACAGGACTACCCCACCGCCCCACACACAGTTCAACTAGTATATTCAGTAACACAGTTCAGCTATATGCAGCAACACAGTTTAACCATATGAAGCTACACACAGACAGTTCCGGAACATCAGATGGGAGTTAGTCACTGTTTTATTCATCACAAGTTTCATTTTCCCCTTCAACTCTTCTTACTTGCCCTATATATGTCAGCAATTGCCTGGCTTTGTTTTGCCTGGGAAATACTTCGGTCATGAATGAACCATATTGAAAAAACTTTATGGATAACAACTTCTTTTATTTTGTGAGTAAAATTCCTGCTTGACAACGGCACAAGAATCTGTGAAACGTATAAATTAACGAAGATGGTATCCCTAAAGTTAGCTAAGATACATAGCGTTCACATGAATGTATCTTAACTACCCTAAAGTTTGTTCAATATTGCACTTCCCAACTTCCACTCCAAGATGAATGAACCAGACATGTATATGTATACGACAAAATTCAAAAGTTTCGAAATTTATATGTCATACTTTCTCGTCTCAGAGAATTAGTAGTTTTGAAGGGGGTTGTTGCAAAGATAACAGCACCTTATACCAAAACACCGTAAGTGAAGACTTTATTCTTCTTCAAAGAAGATGAAATTCATGAAAATTGTCTCCACTGATACCACAGATTTTAAACACGATGATAGTTACACCTTCGTCAATCCCTTGCAACTATATAACTTATATAACTAGTATACATGCGTCAGGATGCACTAATCATGAAAGACAAATGTTGACAATAAGAAAATGAAATGAAGAACAGGCCATGGCTCACCTTGCACGCTCTACTGGCCGGCGCTGAGTGTCACTCGCAGTTGATCAAGTCTAATTATAATCATCAGTGAAAGTGGTTCATATTAATGTCGCATGCGTGCATACACAAAAGGAAGCGGCCACTCAGAGCATGAAAAAGAACTTTGTGTTCACGCTTACGAAACACCAGCGGATAAAAGTGTGCCTTCAGCATTCATGTCCGGAAGGGTACAGGTCGAAATATTCTCATATTTCCTTTTTGGTTACGCAGGATGATGGCGCTCGACAGATTTCCATTCTGTCTACACATACCACTTCCAACAGGAAGTTAGTTTGGATTTTGCTTTTTCAATCGTCATTCCTTTGAATTAGTGAGTGGGTTTTAAGCCACCTATATAACACCACGAATGGGCTTCACTTGGGCATTTTAACACTAAGAAAACTGCATGGTTCATCAAACTGTTACTCACAACATTTGAACAGTTCAATTAACTGGGTTAATAACCGGTTGTATTATCCGTATGGTGAAACATAACCAGTGTCATATATATCATATCTGCACATGTGCACATATCACTTTTGCCTAGCAACCACTGTTTCCGTATATCATCGTATGTGACGTCATTAAACAACTGAACGTAACGTCAATGAACAGGGCTGTCGTGTTTACCGTGTTTTAATGCACAAATGTACATGAATAAAATGGATAATAAAGAAATTATTACACTCGCAAGTGTGCCACACGACTTATACAAAGTGCAGAAATGTCACTCTCCTTTTGTATAAGTGATATGACACACTTGTACGTGTAATAATATCTATATATACAGATATTCATCTAAGGGCATAGGACCTGTTACATGTATGTACAGATGTGAGTAATACTTGTTATGTACAGACATTCAGCACTGGATGTATTGCCTGTCACATGACATTCAACACTGACCAGTGTGTATTACAGGGATTGTACAGATTATCAGCCATCACTTTAATTAAGGTATTTAGGGGCTTTCCAAGGCCCAAGCAACAATTTTAAGGAACTATAGAAGCACATAAGAGGGGAATAACTCTTAGGGTGTCCTCCCACTAGTCATAGGTCCCACTAGTCATATGGGTTAAAACAACATATGGTATGGTTGACTGCACCAACAACTCAAACTCAGTAGAGTTTAACATTGATTTAAGTGTTTTGATTATCAACGGTTGAGGTGTATTATGTTCATATAACTCGATATCTATTAACACCCACTGCCATTGCACAGCATTTTTATTATGTATTAGTTTCCTGTACAATCATAACTTTTGCTAAATAAGGGTCCTTTTAGGGTATATCAATTACAAATAGGGCCTTTTCAAGGATAAAACGAATTAGGGGGTAAAATATCCAAATTTCAAATTTGTTTAGCCTGTGTTAACACTGTTATATACAGATATTCAGCACTCTGTGTATATAGATATTGAACACTTGGTGTATCATCTCTTATATACAGACATTCAACATTGAATGTATCACTCGTTATAAACAGATATTTAACTTGGGGTGTATCATCTGTTATACAGACATTCAACACTGGGTGTATCACATATTATGTTGACATTCAATACTGGGTGGATGATCTGATACATGCAGTCATTCAACACTCAGTGTATCACCTGTTATATACATACATTCAACACTGGGTATATCATCTGTTACACACAAACATTCAACACTGGGTGTATCACCTGTTATATACAGACATTCAACACTGGGTATATCACCTGATACATGCAGACATTCAACACTGGGTGTATCACCTGTTATATACAGACATTCAACACTGGGTGTATCATCTGTTATACACAAACATTCAACACTGGGTGTATCATCTGTTTATATACAGACATTCAACACTGGGTATATCACATATTATGTGGACATTCAATACTAGGCGGATGACCTGATACATGCAGACATCCAACACTCAGTGTATCACCTGTTATATACAGACATTCAACACTGGGTATATCACATGATACATGCAGACACTCAACATTGGGTGTATCACCTGTTATATACAAACATTCAACACTGGGTGTATCATCTGTTTATATACAGACTTCAACACTGGGTGTATCACCTGTTATACACAAACATTCAACACTGGGTGTATCATCTGTTTATATACAGACATTCAACACACAGTGTATCACCTGTTATACACAAACATTCAACACTGGGTGTATCATCTGTGATACACAGACATTCAACACTGGGTGTATCATCTGTAATATACAGACATTCAACACTGGGTGTATCATCTGTTATACACAAACATTCAACACTGGGTATATCACCTGATACATGCAGACATTCAACACTGGGTGTATCACCTGTTTTACACAAACATTCAACACTGGGTGTATCATCTGTAATATACAGACATTCAACACTGGGTGTATCATCTGTAATATACAGACATTCAACACTGGGTGTATCATCTGTTATACACAAACATTCAACACTGGGTATATCACCTGATACATGCAGACATTCAACACTGGGTGTATCACCTGTTTTACACAAACATTCAACACTGGGTGTATCATCTGTAATATACAGACATTCAACACTGGGTGTATCATCTGTAATATACACACATTCAACACTGTTATATACAGACATTCAACACTGGGTGTATCACCTGTTATATACAGACTTTCAACACTGGGTGTATCATCTGTTATATACAGACTTTCAACACTGGGTGTATCATCTGTAATACACAGACATTCAACACTGGGTGTATCATCTGTTATACACAAACATTCAACGCTGGGTATATCACCTGATACATGCAGACATTCAACACTCAGTGTATCACCTGTTATATACAGACATTCAACACTGGGTATATCACATGATACATGCAGACACTCAACATTGGGTGTATCACCTGTTATATACAAACATTCAACACTGGGTGTATCATCTGTTTATATACAGACTTCAACACTGGGTGTATCACCTGTTATACACAAACATTCAACACTGGGTGTATCATCTGTTTATATACAGACATTCAACACACAGTGTATCACCTGTTATACACAAACATTCAACACTGGGTGTATCATCTGTGATACACAGACATTCAACACTGGGTGTATCATCTGTAATATACAGACATTCAACACTGGGTGTATCATCTGTTATACACAAACATTCAACACTGGGTATATCACCTGATACATGCAGACATTCAACACTGGGTGTATCACCTGTTTTACACAAACATTCAACACTGGGTGTATCATCTGTAATATACAGACATTCAACACTGGGTGTATCATCTGTAATATACAGACATTCAACACTGGGTGTATCATCTGTTATACACAAACATTCAACACTGGGTATATCACCTGATACATGCAGACATTCAACACTGGGTGTATCACCTGTTTTACACAAACATTCAACACTGGGTGTATCATCTGTAATATACAGACATTCAACACTGGGTGTATCATCTGTAATATACACACATTCAACACTGTTATATACAGACTTTCAACACTGGGTGTATCACCTGTTATATACAGACTTTCAACACTGGGTGTATCATCTGTTATATAGAGAGTTTTAATACTGGTTGTATTGTCTGATTTTGATAGATATGCAATTGAGTAAAAGGCAATATAAAACACAACACAAAATTCATGTATAATATTTTCTTCTCACTGTCTGCATGGAATGCAGTCACTGCTGACATGGTGGAGTAAGTCATCCTCCTGTGTTGTTCGTGTCAAATGGACATTGTTATCTTGTCAGTCTTCTGTCCATGAAAGATGCTGATTACAGAAATACAATATAATTCAATAAAAAGGCAGCAATGTCCATCCACACCCATGATATGTAAAATTAGTCAATAATAAAAACAGACGCAAACAAATTTTTCAAATATATTTCATGTTTGAACCGGAATAATTGACATAACATGAAACTACACATTTTCTGGTGCCACTTGCTCCAGGTGTTTATAAATTATGCTGGGAAACAAATGGTTTGCAAACTTTGTTTGACAAGATTCAAGTATGCAATGACATGATCAAACTAAAAACACAGTAACAATGAGGTAACACACGTACATGGGAAAAAGAACAAACTTACATGGTAACTGGGACTGCCAATGAAAACTTACTATCTGTGAGTCTATGCAAATATTTCATCTCCGGAAAACAGGCTAAGTTGCCTCTCTTTGCTGACATGACATGAAGTGGAGAAAATAGACGGAGTACTGGCTAGCCTTGACTTGGCAACTTCTGCCCTTTTGTAAGTTGGAAATATATCATTGATGACATCACAGGACTCAGCCCTGTCAGCTGGTGTATGTGCTCTTGGTGTGTAAGGAACGACCTGCTCAGCAAAACTTGTGACTGTAATGAATAAAACTTGGGTAACTGCAGAGTATGAACAGCAGGTTATATAATCAGAAATGTGACTTGTGCAGATGTCAGTGGCACTGCAAACTTGCACTTGGATGTGCAATGTATTTAACAAAAATGTCCTAGCTACAACTTGAGGATAAATACATGTTTGATATGTTTAATTTCAATATATTTGGACCTTCCAACCTGAATTTGTGGGCCATTGGTCTGTAAACCAAAAAGAAGAATAGATCCTTAGATAGAATAATACTGTTAAATATAAACCATGGAGTGTCATTTCTGAGATGATCAGAGGATGAGATTGGAATGAAACATATGGTCTAGGGACTGAAACTTCTGAAAGACAGCCTAATGTAGGCGTGTTACTCCATCTGAACATCTGAACTCCAGTGTACCAATTTAGAATTCCATATTTACACATACTCTGCCATTCTTTTTGGCATACCAACATAATTCTTAAAACTGCCTCAACGAAAAACCCAACATGTTTTCATTAATTCAATCCCTTCAAACATTAGAGGGGAATGTTTGACTTACACAACTCAAGATCAGGCATCTGTCTGCCTCCCTCATGACCCCAGCCTACATGGAGGTATGAGCATCTGCTGTCAGCAGATACCTCTCTCAACCTTGTACAGTACACTCCTCTCACCAAAGGACAAATTGGTGTTGAAGGGACCAGGGTTTCACTTCTAAAATCTGAACAGAAAACACACATCATCAATATAGTAATTGCCTTCAAACTGTACGACATGTACTTTAACACACGGGCTGCACAAGTGTGGATATAGCAAGTTGCTAGGATGAGTGGAGTGGTGGGTTGCATCTCAAAATCATGTAAACATGCAATTTCAATACATTTTAACAAGGGAGGTACACACTCCTCCCCACAAGCACATTGTCACTGCAGGTAGTGGATGTTGGAGTGAGTGTGGTGGTATAACAGTGCTTCAAACAGTACTTCAGTCATACTCAGTTGGCACTGGTTGTAGACCTCTCCAATTAAAGAGGAAGGATGTGGTGTTGGTAAACCTAGAAACAATCAGGGTGAATCCAACCCTGACTTTGTGTTCAACACCAGCTGTTCTTGCATTGCACTAGATTTAGAGTAAGTACACTGGGTCACCTATACAACTCACATTGTAGAAATGTTCAGTATATTTAAAAACAGGATAAAAAGACAGATCTGGATCAACTTGAATTCATCTTGTAAATAGGGGGCAATCGTGGCCATGTCACTTAAACCTATTTTAAAGGGTTTGAATCTTGTTTAACCCATAATGTTTCAAGGTTTGTCAGAACCATATTCACCAATATACATTTGAGCTCGCATAATTTCAGGCTTTCCTTCAACATTAAGCGGACAAGCCATGATATAACTGATATACAGTTCAAACCAGTGTTCAACCCAACACACTCATCTTGAAAATCTGTCCATGGATCAATATTCATGATGGCAATAACTGAAATGTCTGGTCCACATTTAACCACCCCCATTAGTTGGAATACCCCTTTAAGTCCATCAGCCCTTACAGCTTGAGGTATAGTGTAGTTATGTATTAACGTGACATGTACGTGGTGTACCAACAGGTATAGTGTAGTTATGTATTAACGTGACATGTACGTGGTGTACCAACAGGTATAGTGTAGTTATGTATTAATGTGACATGTACGTGGTGTACCAACAGGTATAGTGTAGTTATGTATTAATATGACATGTACGTGGTGTACCAACAGGTATAGTGTAGTTATGTATTAACGTGACATGTACGTGGTGTACCAACAGGTATAGTGTAGTTATGTATTAACGTGACATGTACGTGGTGTACCAACAGGTATAGTGTAGTTATGTATTAACGTGACATGTACATGGTGTACCAACAGGTATAGTGTAGTTATGTATTAATGTGACATGTAATGCGGTGTACCAACACGAAAGTGCAAGACGAGTGAGCTATGTGGTACCGGCGTGAAGCTTTTGATAAACAGTGAAACCAACTTCATCCGCATGATCTCCATGAGTGTGATTACAACATCCATAAACATCATCCAAGCAGCATGGTTACCACCAGTCGTAAGGGACCATTCATAATTTATGGCTATGGGGGTGATGATGATTTTAAGGGGTGGGGGGTGACCCTCTTCGTTCTGTAAAACCTTATGCTTAAAAATTATGGGGGGGGAGTCATTCATTTTGTACATGACATGCAGGGCTGGGTCACTTACTTTGTACATAAATTTTAGGGGTGGGGGTGGTGATTCACTGTACATGCTTCTCCATAAAAATCATCCTCACCCCCCACCCCCACCCATAAATTATGAACGGTCCCTAAATAAACAGATTTCTCAATCACAGATTGTGCAGTTTAGACATTTACTCCAAAGAGATTAAAAAGGATGAACTTAAGCTTCATCTATGACCTCAGAGTCTCTAGGAGCTCAGTGTCATGGCAGTAAAGCCTCTGGTTGACTAGTGTTGAAAGTGTTAAACAAGTAACAAACGAAAATCAAATCTGCATCCTTAGTGGTTAACATATAAAATCATTGTACCAATAGAACTCCTGGAATTGACAACTTACACATTAATAATTATATGTGTGTTTGTATGTGTCTGTTTGGACACACACATATACATGCGACATTTTTAACAAAAGACAGGTTAGTTCAAAAGTTTGACCATATATGAAGTTCTTAATACTTGACTCGACTTCATTAGAATCAACTCATATTCAATGAGATCATGACATATCTGTTGTAAATGTTCATTTTGGATTTGCTATATTTTTGTGGATTCACTAACCCATGTCAGGGCTGTTTGGGAAGTGTATGTCTGGAACCAGTGCAGCAGCTGGGTCTGGTCTTGAGCAGCTTGGGGTGGAGGGCACATGATGGTAGTCACTAGACTCGCAGAATGTGTTCATGGTCTGAAAGAAAACTTTAGGGTACAACTTGGCATGATGAACCCAGGTCAACCTCTGAAAGCTCTAATGTTTCTACAAATACCACATCCTAGGTATGTGTTCATTTACAGTATAATAGTGATAACATATCTCTTAATAATGGATACCTGATCAAAATTTTCAGGAATATGCATCTTGATCTCAACTGAACCAAAGTTGTGTTGTCAGTTGTCAACAACTGTTTAGCTCAAGATTTACTGTATTTATACTTAATCCCTCCGGAAATCTATTAGACTACTGAAATTGACATTATGTGCAAATGAACTTGGCAATTGCTAACATAATTTTGATCTAACATAGAAATGGCTGCCACATTGAAAATGACACTGCTCATGCTGTTATTTTTGCATTATTTTGCACAGTAATGTTTATGTCATGTGGCATTTTTTGGATATTTTACTCACAATAATCTAATGAGCGGAACTGTCAAAATTTACTAAACCAACATTTGGTCTCAACTTTGCCCTAGTTGGGTTAAAAATGTTATGCATGCCAGAATGAATTAATACAGAGACCATATACCGGTATATGGTCTCTGATTAATACAATAACATTGTACCCAAATAATGGAATGACTGCAAACGCTGAACAGAACTATATATGCACACTATCACAGCTGTAATATATCTCCCATACATAGTGCACACTGAAAAACGACGGACCCTGACATCAACAGTAAACATGCTTCGAGTGTGACTAAAACGGCATAACTCTTAAACACCGTGTCTGACATTCGCTCGTGTACATTGTTTCTGTAGCGATGGTTTCGATATCGAATTAAGAATACAAAAATATCTACCATAACAACTAAAACATAATGGGACGGCCAACCTTTCTAAACAAAAAAACCTGATCCTCTTACAGATCGACATGACGCTTCTGAGGACGCGGCTAATATTTTTTATTGAAGATGTGTGTTAAATTTATTAGGTTACATTTTAGGCATTAAGACTAAAAAACGGCAGACATGCAATGTTTCGTGACTTGTGTCCCCGATATTCAGTACAACACACGTGAACTTGCAGGTGGAGCAAGTTTCCTAAGTTTCATTTCAGCAAAAATAAAGAGTCGTCTGCTGCGAAGCCAATGAGATTACACGTTACTCAATGGATTTTCGACTGACCAATCCTATCGCTCCTACCGAAAAGTTTGTAAGCGTTTCCGTTCAAAACAAATATGGAGTCGCCTAAAGGTGTTCTGATTGTCCATGAGAAATGAATTTGTCTCAGAAATTTGTGTAAGTATATTTAGGCGATTGCGAATCTAATTCAGTGGGATTAAATCTATTTCACGATCAGCTGCTAATGTGTTCAAAACGCCCTCGACCTCCTACTTGTACAACATATCGGCCTACATTATATCTCCAGTCACTAACAGTCATATCTAATAGAATGGAAATACAGTTTGGACAGAAAACGCTATTGGTCTATGATTAGGTCCCAAGAAAAACATTACGTTTATGGCAAAAGTCAAGAAGTTGAATGTATAAAACACAAAATTCTATTTGGGGAATCCTTTTTATCAGTTGACACTGACAGTGCCATTCTACCCTCATTGCAGAGTGAACAAGTGTCTTTTTCCCCAAGTCTGGTACACAATAGGAGTCCTAGTCATAATTTATTATTTTCCTCATCGTTAAGAGGGGTGGGGTGGGGATAGGGCGGAAATCTTACCCCCGTCTATGGTCCAGGTGACTTTGTAGCCCTCTCAATTAATTTTTATAGAAGCTGGGGCAAGGATGCTGTTTGATGGTTGTTTGATGGTGAGTCATACGAAATCCTCAATGTTCAACAGTTGGTAATATTGATAGAAATGTGTGTTTTACTTTGGCCTCCTTGCACAATTGTCACATCATTTTTCCTGTTTTGTTATTGTAATGTAACCAAGAGTGAAGTTGCAGCCTCCATCACTGCTGAAACAAACATTTCATGACTTTAGTGCTAGATGCGTTAGAGAGAACAGAACTGACCTCATGTAGCCTCAATAGCTGGCCTTTTGATGACTGAGAAATATTATATGATATTCAAACTGTAATCATTGCTTTTCACCTTGCACCTTATAGAAATCCAGAAGTGAGATGACATTATAATTTGAAAGTAGTTTTGGTGATGAGATTTGGACCAGTGATTAGTTGCAGCAACATTTATCTTGACACTGCTGAAACAGTTGGTCCGGGTTAGAATATTGATCTTCAGTAACCCATGCTTGTCGTAAGAGGCGACTAACAGGATTTGGTGGTCAGGCTCGCTGACTTGGTTGACACATGTCATCGGTTCCTAATTTCGCAGATCGATGCTCATGCTGTTGATCACTGGATTATCTGTTCCAGTCTCGATTATTTACAGACCGCCACCATATAGCTGGAAATTTGCTGAGTGCGGCGTAAAACTCACCTCACTCACTCACTGAAACGGTTGTACCAGGGTGTTTCGATAATTATTGATGGTCCCACCCCATTTGTCAGATACCCCAGTTTTTAGACAGTAGATTAGAGGTGCTGTGGTTATGGGGCATTCCTAGAAAACTCAATCCTGTTTATAGATAAGATCCACCAAGTTCAGAATTTTGATGTTTATTGGGTAAAATACTTGATCAAGTCAGATGTAAACTAGCTTCACTCTGTGAGAAAACGATCAGATTACATATAAATCTATCCTGAAAACAACTTAAATTTGTGTTTCCACACCTCATGAGTGACATGGACCCCATGAGTAGTGCTGGAGCAATTGATTGAATAATCAGTCAGTCGATTGATCTGGCTTGCACTAGCGATTTTCTATGAGCTGGGAAGTCTAACTAATATTGAAAAAAAAAAGAAACATAGAATTACATTTAAGAAAGTATCTTTCTTATTGTAATGTTTGTTAAATCAAGTCATAGACAACTGATGCACTTTCCTGACTTGTAAAACTGCAATGTAAAGAACTCACTAGTGTACAATTGTTTCAACGGCATGTATCCTTGCTTGTCTTGATCATAGCATGAATCGGTGCCTGTTTCATTTCCACAATGTTCTGATTGTTATTGCCCATATGAATTTTGTAGTGGAGTTTACAATAGACCGAACCAGTCTGTCAATCAAAACTGGTGCATGGATGAATTTGAGCCAATCAGAAGGCCAGGTGCATTTGATGAATTTGTCAGACTTACTTTCAGGGTCAAATGATGCCTCCGAAGTGATGTGCCTTTGAATAATGCCATTCTCACTCACTGAAGTGTATTTTCATTTTATTTGTACTCAGTACTATTGATAACATTTTTATTCTACAGTCTGTTATTGAACGCTATCTCTCAAAAAAAGAGAGGTAAATTGTATGCATGTTTCATAGACTTTTCCAAAGCCTTTGACTTCGTGAAACTGTGGAATATATTAAAGCTAAGAGGAGTGTTCGTGAGAGAACTTGAAGGTATGGACGTGGTGTAACTTTCCTTTCTCAAACAAGACACGGTAACATTCTTACCGATTTATTAATGTTGCTTGACAGTTTTACAGCAGCTGAGCTTCTCGCTCCAGTTCATAAAAACATGTGCTCAAGGGGAAGGGAGATAACTCTTTTTTTAGTACTTTACGTTAGAAACAAAAGAAAAAAGTAGGGGTAGCGTTATTCGAACAGAACATAGAATTTCATACATACCCGCCCCACTGACAGTCAAAAGAGTGACTACATATGATTACTTGTTAAGAGAAAATGTTCTTATTACTTGAAATGTCTTTGTGATAACTTTGAAAACACTTTTAGAGTCATTTATCACAAACTGATGCAGCTTCTTCCAGGAGACACACTTTGGAAGCTGGCCTGGTGTACTCTCCGTGGGGACGTCTTCACTCTCACCGACCGGACACGCCCATCGTCTCCAGGGTAGATCTTCAGGACACGCGCCATGTCCCATTGACCTTGGGTTTGTTCAGCTCCATCAGCATAACGAGATCACCTTCAGCGATGTTTGGAGATTCTCTTTTCCATTTTTGTCGAATCGTCAACATTAGCAGGTATTCTCTCCTCCAACGTTTAACAACATGGTCTGCGATGATCTGACTTTGTCGCCATTTCTTGCGGCTACAAAGATCAGCTTTGTCAAAGCTTCTGACTTGCTGTCCATGTTTAGCTCGTCCAATGAGGAAGTGATTCGGGTCAGCTGTGAAATCATCAGGGTCAGTGCTGTTATAGGTCAAAGGTCTACTGTTTAGTACTGCTTCTACCTCAATCAGAGTTGTCTTTAGCATTGATTCTGTCACACATTTGTCTTGCAGAACAGCTTTCAGTGCTCTCTTGATGGAGCGGATGAGACGCTCCCAGGCACCTCCAAAATGTGGACTGTAGGGTGGAGTAAAGTGCCACTGAGTTGACTTGGTTGTAAGGAAATTGGAGATTTCTACTTGATTGAGATTTCTGATGCTTTCAGACAGTTCATTATTAGCACCTTGGAAGTTTGTCCCATTGTCACTGTAAATGTGGCCTGGGTTTCCGACAACCAATGAAGTTCCTTAAGATGAGAATGAAATGGTCTGTTTCCAACGAATCGGCAAGCTCAATATGTACAGCTCTAGTTACGAGGCAAGTGAAAATACATCCCCATTTCTTCAGCCTGCTTCTTCTGTGTTTAACCAACATAGGACCGAAAGAGTCGATTCCTGTGTGAGTAAAGGGAGCTTCAAAGTTTGTTCGGCAAACTGGCAAGTCTGCCATTTTGGGGACACTGGGCAGTAATTGCCGCTTATGGCAATCTCTACACTTCCTGATGACGGCCTTCACTTGGAGACTCAAGTTCAAGGGCCAGTACTTCTGCTGAACACTGGCAATGATATGTTCAACTCCTCCGTGTGCTGTGTTTTTGTGAACATCTTCAAGTATGAGCATAGTCACTGGGTGTACGGTGGGTAAAATAAGCTGGTGTTTGGCTTCGATTGGAATATCAGCCTTGCGAAGTCGACCTCCAACTCTCAGATGGCTTCCGTCAAATATGGGTGAGTAAGATAGTAGCTGAGACTTTGTGTTTACCTCCTTGTCATTCTTCAAACTGTCAATTTCAGTCTTGAAGTTGTCATTTTGTGCTTGCTGTATCCAATACATTGAGGCGTCGTTGCATTCTTGAACTGTGAGAGTAGCTTCATTGTTGGGCTCGATAGATCCGCTGAATATTTTGGACTTAAAGTTGAGTACTGCTCTTCTTATCCATTCTGATAATCTGCAGAGCTTTCGCCATGATGAGAAGTCTGAGGGGTTCAAGATTTCCGACAATTCATGCTGTGATTGGTATGTCTCTTGTGTACATTTGTTTGAACTGGCTGTGAATACATGCTTGGTCTTGATTTCAGGATCATCATCTAGTGTAGATGGTTTGATTTGAGATGACCACTAAGTGTCTTCACTGTTGTGAAGAAAATCAGGTGCACTGAACCAAGAACTGCTCCCAGTCAGGTGTGCTATAGTCATTCCTCTTGTGCAATAATCCGCAGGATTTTGTGAACTTGCAATATGACGCCATTGTGTAGGCTGGCTTGATTCCAGAATTTCAGCAATCCGATTGGCTACAAATGGTTTGAAGCGCTTCATTTCGTTGTTCAGATACTGGAGCACTGTCATAGAATCTGTCCATAATATTAGGCGGAGTTCAGGTAATCCTAACACCTTCTGCAGAGAATTTCCAAGTGCTAGTACTGAACCTTGGAGTTCAAGACGAGGGATCGATAACACCTGCTTTATGGGAGCGACACGCGTCTTCGAGGCTAGGAATGAACAATCGATGCTTGTCGAACCTGTCTCATACCTCAAGTATGCTACTGCACCAACAGACTTCTCCGAGGCATCATCGAAGACGTGCAGTTGAAGGTTGTTGGCTTGTGATGAGAAGTTTTGGTGATGTCGCTGTAGCTTCAATAATGGGAGGTTGTCAAGCCCGTCTAACCATTCTTCCCACTTTCTCTGTATCATTGTTGGTAATTCGTCATCCCAGTCGACATTCTGTCTCCACAGCTCTTGAATGATGACTTTAGCTCGCATGGTAAATGGTGATAGGTAGCCGCATGGATAAAAGATGGAAGACACTGTACTCATGATACTTCGCTTGGTGGTCGGCATCAATCCTGTAATGGAGTTTTAAACAAAACAGTCTTGATTTACGTCCCACCTGAGACCGAGTGCTCGTTGTACAGGAAATTCATCCAAATCAAGATCCAAAGTTTGAATAGCCCTCTCTGTCTCTGGAATGGAAGATAAAACTTCAGATGAATTGCTT